GTAGCTGGCTAGCTCCTTACAGAAAGTAACTGCCCTCTTTAGAGTTGTATGTACACTACACAACTTGCTTTGCAAGTTTATCACCTGTTAGGAGTGGTCCCCTCCAATTCTTTTGACTGGATCTTAATTTAATCTTGCTCTGTATAAATTATGCAGTCCCACCAACCGTTGGGACTTCAGGGCTCACTTCATAATACCTTTCCCTTATCTTTTCCCCCTGGTATTATTATTCAGTTCATTTTAATCCATCTCCTTCCTACAAGGAATTCAGATGGCATACACTGTTCTTCCCTCCTCCATGACACATTAAATCTTCAAAGCACCCCCAAATCATCATTGACCTCAGTGGATAATTTTCTCAGCCTCCAAATAAATTGTCATGAAATCATTAATTAATTTACTTTAATTAAAATAGCAGGGGACCTATGAGGGAGAATCTTATCCCTCTCTCTGGCTGGCTCTCCTCCACTTTTCTTCCACCCCCTTGCAGCCTTTGCAGTTTCTCCCCTTTCCTTGCCTCAGCCGCCCTTCTCCCTCTCCTCCATTTTTATTTCCTCCATCTGTAACTTCTTAGCCAATCCCCACACACCTGATGTTGGCAGCTATGGCAACCAGAAATTGGGCACACACCCCTGCCGCTCGTGATTGGCTGATGGCCACAGCTGATGGTGACTGGCGTGGGGGTATAACTCCGTGGTTCTTTAGGGAAGAGCTCTCTTGCTCCTGGGATCCTGACTTTTGAAACAAAGAGCTTCTTTGTGAACTGATTGCCGGTTGCCAACCTTCTGTTACTGTGGATCTGTATCTCTGAGCAGTCCTGGACTATATACCTGTACAAGATGGGATTTCTCTTCAAAATCCCTTGGTGCCAACCTGTACTGTTATGCACTGGACAATCTTGGACTACCGGATGCTATAATTAACTTGGTAACTATGGTTATTATTAATGTGCAGTAAGGGCAAATAGCCATAGGTTGTTATTATTTTTGTACAAGGGGCAGGGCCTGCGATACTCACGGGGGGGGGAGGCAGAGGAAGCAGCAGGAGGAGGTAAGTTGGTTCCCCATCTCCTCCACACCCCCTTGCCTTCCCCCCTGGCTCTCTCGCCCCCGGCTCCTTGCCGTTCCCCCGGCCCCGGCGTGAGTGACGTGACTTACTGACGGTGGCCCGGCCCAGAGAGCTTGGCCGCTTCCACTCAGCTCGGAGCTCGGCCCTTCCCTCCCCTCCGCTCCCGCCCACCCTGCCACAGCGACACTACCACCGAGCTCGGCCCAGCTACGCAAAGAGAGGCCGCCCAGAGTCTGTCGCCGCCCCGTCCGGTAAGCAGCGCGGGACAGGTCCTAGCTAGGCCTTCACCCCCACGCAGAACCAGGCCTCGGTGCCTGCTGCGATACAGGCCCTGAGAAGGCCGCAGCTAGGCCGCGCCAGGGCTGCATCCTGCAGGAGTGGGCCGTAGGGCCCGGCTGGAAGGCCTGGGCACTTGTTGCTCAGCTTCGAGGACGGGGCCAGGTGCAGGGCTAATGTGAGGTGGACGGGGACAGAGGCCGGGGCCAGGTGGAGGGAATGACGGGGCTAGGCCTGAGTCGGAGAAGCAGAGCATTCCCTGCACGTGCGCAGGGGACGCTCTGTCATTTTCGGGGGGATTTAAGTATCCCCTCGATATATTTTTTTTGGTTTAGGATTTTTGTGCACACCTGGGGACTGCCCCACGTGTGCACAAACCTCTCCCTCCCCCCCAAGTGCCCCCGATGTCCGGATTTAAGGATCCGCACAGAGGGGGCGAGTTCACTGTTAGATATATAGATCCTCTATTAGTCTCTTGTTATGCTTTGCACTGAATAAAGATAATTCATCTTTGTAATTGTCTCTGATGCGATAATTGAACACCAGGGCTAAATCTCGTGTCTAAGTGCTGACCACAGAGCTATGTCAGCTAGCTGCCATAGAGTTCTGTGTAACATTTGTGCGTTCTCCCCAGTGCCAGCCTGTCTCTCCCCTGCTCATGTCTGCTGCTGACATTCCTTTCTGTAAACGCTAGTAGTATGCTTGGTAACATGTTATCTCCCAAGGTTAACAGGTGCAGAGTGGTGTCTTCTGCTTTTATCTCTAATGAGCTAGCACATGGGAATGAAATAATTGTTTATCTGTTTCAGGCCGTTGGGCTCCCAGGCTTTTCGGCGCGAGGTTTAACAGACCCGTGAAAGCGGGAACCATAATGATTGGTTATGTCTTTGTATGAATCTGTTTAATATCTTGTGCCCTGCATTACTGGGTCATTCTAAACACTCCTGCTGTTCCAGCTTAACTACTGTTTCATACACGTGTGTTCATCTGAATGCGTGGAGGATTGGACAAGCTACCACTGTGAGAGTAATTGTGTGCACCTCTGAGTTAGAGTTGCTGATGTGTTAAGTCCCAGATGCCAGCTAAGAGATTGAATCTCTGCTCTTAGGCTGGGTGGGGTGGAAGAGATTTTGGTGGCAAACTGTTGTGAATCCTAGAGAGAGTACAGACTGTCTCGTGGATTTTGTTTCATGTGCTGAGACATAGGGTTCCCTCTCACCCCTGGACTGGGCTGAGTGGGTTAAATCCTGTACACATCTCCCACCCCGCACAGTGGGAGACCTGGCTCGAGATCCTGGAGAGCTACTTTGACTGCCACGACATCGTAGACCCGGGTAAGAAAAAAGCCCATCTCCTCCGGTCCTGTGGCATAGACACTGTCTTGCTGCTTAAGGACCTCATTGCACCTAAGCAGACCAAGGACGAGTCCTATCCCGTGCTGGTGAAACCGCTGACCGACCACCTTTCACCAAAACCCACAAAGTTTGCTGAGCACATAGACTTTTTTGTGCGGGTCCAGGGGCAGGACGAGCTGGCCTCCAAGTTCTTGGTCTGGCTCCGGTGGGCGGCCACCAGGTGTTCCTTTCCCCACCTGGAGGACACCTTGCTAAACCAGTTCCTTTTGGGTCTCCGGGAACCCAAACTCTGAAGGAAGCAGGTTAGCCAGGACAACCTAGACAAGGCGCTCAGGGACACTGCGGCCTACAAGAAGGCGCACCAAGACCACCGCATGTGGGCGGTCCACCGCACACAAGCAACGCTCGAGTCAGGCGACTCCAAAAATGAGGAAGTGCTCCAGGTCCGCCGCCATTCCTCCCAGCAGCATCGCCCCGGGGGAGCACCATCGGCCAAAGCTCCCTCTGCATCGTCCCAATGCGCCAGCTGTGGGGAAGTGTATGAACGCCGGGTTTGCTGCTACAGGGATGCCGTCTGCCGCTCCTGCAACAAGCCAGGTCATCTGGCCCGGGTTTGCCATTCCCGACGAAAGCCACAGAAGACTTCGGCCCAGCAGACAGCAGCAGAACTACCCACCGACCTCCATACCCTCTCTGCCCCCCACCAGCAGCACCAGCTTGCCCCCCGATGGCCCAAATAAGGTGCACATGACGATGCTGATAGAGGGGTCCCCCTGCAGCATGGAAATAGACACTGGCTCTACCTACTCCATAATTTCGGAGGAAATGCTTCGCTCGCTCTGCCCACAGGGGGGACCCCCTCTGCGTAAGCCACAGGGGTTTAGGTTACGGGACTTTAACAAGAACCTGTGGCAGTTCGGGGCTGGGGCAAGTTTATGGTGCAGTTTCAGGACTTCTGTGGACAGTTGGACTTGCTGGAGGTGGGGGGGGAGGCTCTGCAGTCTGCTGGGACTTTCTTGGTTTGGGCCCCTGGGATTAACAATCGCGGGGGGTGAATCAGCTCCGTGCTGAGGACTTTGTGGCTGTGTGCAATAAGTTCCCCAGGGTTTTCGATGGCACACTTGGCCGCTACACAGGAGCCCCCATTTCCCTAGACCTTGACCCAGCTATCCGCCCCATCCGGGTTAAGGCCAGACACCCCCCCCATTGCGATGAGGCCAAAGATTGAGGCGGAGCTTGATCGCTTGGCTGCCCAGGGGGTGTTAGAGCCCTTCG